AACTTCTACGCCCTGAATCTCCGAAACGAAGCATTTTAGGACATACATTTATACGAACTTTTTTGCTTTTTTTATCTGCGGAATGTGCTCCTGAGGTTTCTTGAATACAATTCGGATCACCTTGTATATATTTTGTGTTCTCAGATATTTCAATTTTGTTATATAATTTTTTGTCTCTTTTTGTGCGTACTTGTCGATTTTAGCAAAGGGCACCAGACCAATTAAAAAAGTCCTAATATTTTTTTTAATATTGACAAATATGTAATTTTTTTAATTAAAAGTTAAAATGTGTTTTTAATTAAAAGTTAAAATGTTAGTTAAGGTTTTTTTAATTTAAATATTTAGGTTGTTTTCTGATATTTTACTGTTCTACAGAATAGTTTATATATGTTAATCTCACACCTCACATTCTTAAATTAATAATTTATAATTATATTTTATATTCTATAAAAACTCCCTCTAGGAGATGCGAGACCTTGTCGTTGGTGGGGGAGCTCCCAGACGGGTGCCTCTGGCACTTTGGCTGGGTCCAAGGAGCATCTCACTGTATTGTCCCTGGCTGTAGTGTCGTGACCAGGGAATTAAACCAAGACATATACCGGGTGGTGCATCGTCGTTGGAAACAGGAAGTCCCATGCAAATTTTGAACTGACCAAATATTGGCTCCCCTATTAATTTTACAGCTAAAAGCTGAATACACATTCCAAATTTGAACAATTTTGGAGAAGGCGATTTTAAATAATTTAAGAAAAGCTGCATCTATTTTTAAATTAAAACTCAACATGTAACAATACAAACCTAGTCAAATGTAAACATACCTTAAATTGTCAACCTACGATTTTATCATCGTCAGATGTAATTTGTTGTGCTGTCTACACTACTACGTTATAGTACCTACGCTTAGTGTTCCCGAAATGTATTTTTGTAATTTAAAACTGGTTTGGATGAGGCAAAAGCCTAAGGTTTAGGTTAATACAATTTGGCATTGACAAAATTATAGGATGGCAATTTAAGGTTACCTGTCCAGTTTTAATTTAAAAATTAGATGCAATTTTTCTTAAATTAGACCTTTTAAAAACCTTTTTATAACTTCGCTGTAAAATTAACACGGGAGCCAATATCTGGACAGTTCAAAATTTGCATACTATGTTTCCAACAACGATGCATCACTCGGTATATACACAATATGATCGAAAAAAAGGCGTCATTGATGACTATGAGATGAAGATCGCCGTCATTTTATATGTAAAATTATTTGGACATGTCCTCGATGTTCATTTCCAAGCCAACTAGAGCCCGTTTTTTTCGATCATAAGGTATAACAATGCCGAATGGGACTATCCCTTTCGTCATACCAGGCACCCTCTGTCTGTGGTCATGTCTCACAAGCAGAGGGTGTTTTACTGAATAGTTGATATATTGTTAATAATGTTAACTCCTCACATTCTCTCTTGTGTGAATTAATAATATTATAACGGATTTCTAGTGTTTTTTATATTTTTTATATATATTTTATGTTGCCAGGAATTTCAAGGAACCTACTACGTACGACTTCGCTGTAAAAGCAACAGGCGAGCCATTTGGACAGTTCAAAATTTGCATGGGATTTCCTCTTTCCAACGGCGATGCATATTTAGTGTTGTCAGGAATTACAATTTTGTTATATAATTTTTTATCTCTTTTGATGCGTACTTGTAACATTTTTTGAATTTTAATAATTTTTTGTTATTTATATAGAAAAATTATATTTGTGTATATATGTTATATTTGTATTGGATATAAATTTGAATTGTTATTGTTATTAAACATAATTTTATAAAATGTGTATTTTTTCTAACCTATCTAATTTAACAAATATTCAAAACTCTTAAATAATGTTTAAATGCATTATTTTTTTTATGTATAATTTGTAAATAATGAAAGAATTAAAATTTTTAATATTTCAAACTTCCCGCCATACCTGACAATATGGTCTGTAGTTCCTACAAGCGATATTGGGGGCGCTAATGGTAGAACACTTGTCAACAGTGTCAAATTTAAACGTCAATTTCAGTTTCCAATATTTAGCACGGCGCTCGCACTTCTCCTTGTGTATGTGTTTTGTGGCGCCACTGGTAGACGGAGGAAGAAATACTAATGGAAGAGAGGGGTACGGGGAAGAGGGGTTGTTTTAGTTAATTTAAAATAAATTTAGACATACATGTAAGAACACTTTGTGTGCTTTTAATTAGGTCGAACCTATTATCAACGATAAATCAACTGAATTAAAAGCATACAAAGTGTTCTTATATATCAGATATTAATTAAAAAATATATTAAAAATACTAGAAATAGTATATATTAAGTTGTTACAGTTATAATTTAATCTTTGGCGGTTTTCAGCAAATAGCAGGCAGTTTTACATAATTTTCCTCCCTTTGAAGTGAATTGGAAACGGCTAGGTATATAATTTTGGTGTGGACAAGATTCCCAGTTTGTTTCCGTTTGGGACCTGAAATAATAAAAACAAATTAAATCAGATGTAATCATCTGCTGATCATCTATCTGATCTGCTGATCTACTATAAAACGCGCGTTCTTAATTCCTTACATGCACCGTAAAAAAAATTAAATAACTGCTCTGCAAGTAGCATTTATTAGCAGTACTAATTTAAAAAATCTATAACTGTAAGTAGATATGTTTAATTTACTTGCCATTGTATCCTTCGGAAACCAGGTGTAAAACAATTAAACTCCATGATAAAAAATAATTAAGAGTTATTACAAAACACAAATTGTCCCACCATTTTTAAAAAACATTGTCTAAAACAGAATACTGGCAAAAAATCTGAAGGAATTTAATTTTACAATAATTCGACAAATCAAAACGAAATCAAACCGTAAAATCACAACAAAAGCGTCTCTGAGTGACAGTTAAAAATCAAATTTTATTATTGTCAGATATTGACATTTGCATTGTTAATATTGACAGTTTTAATATTTTGCGCCTCTGCATCTTGGAGGAAAAATTATTTTTAATGAACTGTCATTTCCATTTAAGTTTCCCAGCCATGGCCATCATGGCCATATCCAGGACCACTGTAAGTGAAATATTAAAAATGGTCATGCAAAAGTTTCCCAATTATGACGGATGATGGCGCTGATCGTCAAAATTTTTGGACAGACAATACGACCAGGGCCATGTAAGTGAAATATTAAAAATGGTTCCAGCAAAAGTTTCCCAATTATGACGGATGATGGCGCTGATCGTCAAAATTTTTGGACAGGGATTTTGCTTACCGACAATACGACGTGAGCTACGACCGGACCAGGACCAATCAGAATGATCAGTCCTGTGGATCAGTCTTTCTTGGACATTTGCCGCGGAAGTGTGTGTTAATTTCTGTTGTGATAAGTGTGGTTGTGTTTGCAGTTTGATTTTTCGGTTTTGATATTATGTTAAAATTAATTTTGAAGTATTGTATCACCTGTTTTTATGCAATAGTACTTTTCTTAGTTCTATGATCTGATATGTTATGATTTGTTAATGTTTGTTTAACAATGTTATACCAAAGAGGTTATACTTAATATACTTATCAATTTGCATAGCCTAACTTTTTTATCAATAAACTTTGTAGATTTTCAGATTATTTAATTCCTTTTGTTTCTGTTTGTAATTTTATTTTTAAGACATATTATGTGCTTGTTTCACATAATATGTTTTAAAAATAAAATTGCAAATAGTGAATAAAAATAATTAAAATAAAAAGTGTATTTACAACGTTCGTTAGTATATTCTGTGGCCATATCTATGGACCACTATGGAGGCACCTAACCCAGGGGGGTGACAGTGAAATAGGAAAATTGGACACAGTCATTAGTGTCATTCCTGTCATTCTCCTCTCGACAAGTATGGCCGCCTAGACATAGGACAGCATTGTTTTTGTCTAACTATTGTCTAACTTCACAGTTTATAATTGACAGATTTCAGTTTCAGAGACAACTTCAGATTTGTTCTAGAACAAATTCGAAAATATTCGACGCCATTTTAATTCATTCCGTTTAGTTTCGTTTTGGAAGTTCAATTTAATATTTCGGCTGAAATTTATAAATATAATGGTAATAAAGTATATATAATATATATTACATGAAGAATCCTGGAGAAAATGACGTTTCTGCAGTAGACTTTATGTCCCATGTATATGAAAATAGGTATTAAATAAACACTTTTTTTACATTTTTTAGATGCAAGAAAATGGTGTTATAATATCTTTGATCGGCGATTCTATCTGAAAATGGAAATTATTACAGCAAGGTAAGATTTTTTTTAACTATAGCCAACATTAGTTATCTCCAGTATGTGCGATTTATCGTCAATAATGCAATAAATCGGACTGATAATCTGATTATGTATTAATTCTCTTTTTGCTTCTTTTTTGATTAATAAGCCAGGCCTCTTTGGGAATAATGGACGCTTTTTTAAACAGTATATTTATATTTTATACCTATTGATATTTTTACATTGTTAATTTTAGTATATAAAAAATTGTTTTTTCTGTTTTCAGGTTTTTGTATAAGGCTCCCGTTTTCATGTTCCTGTGTCCGTTTTCTGCCCTTGAAGTCTGCGAATACGTGTGTTTATTTACAAATTACTGTAAGTCATTCTTATACCTTAACTAATTTACGTTAAAAGTACATATAATTAACTAATTGGTATTGAAACAATACAATCCTCTATATTTTTATATTTATTTAGTCACGTTGTTCCATATTTCAAATAAATATATGTGAATAAATAATTTTTTGGTTTTATTTATGAAAAGAAAAAATACAAAATACATTTGAACTAAGAGGACCCGCCATTGAATAACCGGAAACGGAAATGAAATTAAGCCATCATGTCCTTATCATGTCAACCTGTCAATTGGAAAATTAGTTCCAGACGACAACAGAAGGCTTTCGGTGGCGTATCGTGTTCAGATTTAACACAGAGTTGACACTTCTTTCTAGTTCAGTTTATTCATTGCCTAAAATATCATGCTAAATCTTATGAGATTTTAGTTTTTTTCCATTTATGTTTTAAAATTATTAGTATATTTTCTAAATAACATAAGATGACTGTAATGCAGTTAACGTTAGCTATTATAAAGCCTCATATTATCAAAAATCCGTTTTCTCTCGACGGTATAAGAAATCATATTATTTCTTCAAAGTTTAAAATTATTAAATCCAAGAGAAAATATATTACATTAAAAGAAGCAGAACATTTTTATGAAGAGCATAAACATAAGTTCTTTTACAACAGACTGGTGACATTTATGACGAGGTATTTTTATTAATTTAATTTTCAACTTAATTTTTTAAAATGTAACTTTAGTGGAGAATCAGATTTATATATTCTTGCGAAAGAGAATGCCATTAAGGACTGGCGAGCTTTAATGGGACCTACTAAGGTTTATAAAGCTCAGTTTGAGGCATCTAATTCTATACGTGGTAAATATGGTCTGACTGATACGAGAAATGCTACCCATGGTTCAGGTTTAGAAAATATTCTCCTATATTGTACACAGCATCATTATCTAAAAATGTTTACAGACTCTCCCGAGACCGCTAAAAGAGAAATAGAACTTTTTTTTCCAGAGTTTGATTATGAAAAATGGTTTCGAGATGAACAGTTTCAGTTTCTTAAGAATGATATTAAATTTGATAAAGAAAATTTTGTACACACCATAGGCAATAATTAGATAACTACTGAAATATATATCTTGTTAAAATAAATTTATTACTCACAATACATTTAAAGAATTTTAATCACAGGTACACTATTCATAAAAAATGGATATTATTTTCAAGCATTTATTTTAACAAATACTTTTGGTCTCTGAAAGACTTTAATTCCTCCATCAATCCGTTTCAACTCTTCTTCTATTTCCATTTTTCTCTTTTTCATTTTTAAAGTATCGTTTCTTACAGGCATCATATTTAATTCTTGAATTCTATCTGCATAACCTAAATTATATTGTTCAGCAATTTTTTTTTCTTAACTAAATAATACAATCTTACTTTGTCTTAATACTCTTAAAGTCTCTTTTCTTTCATCTTCTGGTAATAAAATATGTCCTGGTGGACACTCTGGTTCATTTTCTTCTAAAACTTCTTCCTTTTTATCCCTCAGATATTTTGGAACAACACCCTTCTGATAATTTGATGGAGCACTAGCCATTACTTTGACAGGACTATGTCTCACAGGTCTAGTTTTTATATTTTGCATATTTTCCTTAATAAAATCTTTGCTCTCTAATGCTAAAGAAAAAAAAATATTTTTCTGTTAAACCAACAAGAACAATATCACTTACTTAGATGTTCCATATTGTCAGTAATATTAATATTATCTCCTTCCCCACTGTGTAAAACACTTCCAGATTTGAGAATATTAGGGCTTGGATATTTAATAACTCCAGTATCATACAAATGTTCCAAATTCTCTTGCCTTTCAGTTTGCATTGCCCGGTGTGTAATTTTACTCTCTTCCACTGTACAGAAATTAATGTTCTCTTTCTTCTTTAAAACTGTTTTGTTTTTAACAATTCTTGGTACACCCGTAGCTACATGTTTTATTTCAGGTTTTTCATCCAAATTTGTATTTTCTGATTTTGCTAATACAGGATTACTCTTGCTTAAATTACTTTCTGTAGACCGGGCTAACCGGGCCGCGTTTTTGAATTTATCGAGAGTTTTTTCACTCCTCTTTCTTGGTTGTATTACTCCAGCTTCCTGTAAAATTCCCTGCATCTGCTTAATTGATTTAACATTTTCTTTAATAAAATTCCTCCTGTAAACAGGTTCTGAAATTATATTTAATATTATATTATATACATTGATCAAAATATAACTATGGTATTTAAAGCTATTTTTTACCTACTTGAATCGGGGAAAACACCCCTCAAAGTTGTAGAATGCATATTGATTCATTAATAATAGGTAATTTAGAAATTGAGTCCTATCTTTCGACACTTACTGACATAAATAATTTTTTACTAATTCATGACAATAAAAAATTGAATTTCTATACTAACAATCCAAACACCAGTAACATTGATTCTCTATTATCTAGATAGAGCATTTAAGAGATAAATTAATATCATTAAATAGGATTTGATAGTCGTAATTGTGTGAACTTCAATAAATTATAAAACTCCAACTGCATGTTTCGTGTTCAGGTAAATCTAAATATTAAATCTATAATGTCTTTATAGACTCCATTGTTTTGATTATCTCTGATTATCTTTAGAAATTTTAATATCATAAATATAAATGAAGTTCGCTCCAAAGTATATTAGTTTAATGGCCACAGATGCCAGGGCAAAGATTGGCTCTCTTCATCTTTTCCATATCTTAGGCAGTAGTAGTATTCATGGTGTATACTTAGTTTTACAGCCTGAGCTGCCAGGGCTATTCGGCCTTTTCATATCTTTCCCTAAATGCAACTATAGATCATCATAGATTATAATGGCCCCAATCTATTCTTCTATGAATAGTCTAGCCCTATTTCTATCTTCTATATCTCTGGAAAGGCCCCAAGTCCCAAGTTTACGCTTTTCATTTCATATCGCGTGTTTCATATTCACTTCCCGGCAAGATCTTCCGTTCTGTGTTCTGTCAACAGTGTGTCAACAGTGGAGTAGGATCTAAAAAGAGTAGGATCAATCATGGATCAATGACTAAAGAATCCAAGGACAAATAACACCCGAGAGCAAATTTTGACGCTGTCACCAAACAGTGCCGTAGCACATATTTTTCTTAACCTAGCTGTTTGAAGCAATATTTATATTTTTTGAAAATTGTTTTGACTACGCCTATGGTGTATCATCCTAATTAATTACGAAAAAAACGTATTAAAATGTTAACAAAAGGTACAAAACTAGTATCGACGTATAGCACATATCAAGTACATATAGATGTTAATTGAAATTGAAGAATAGTTATCGAATTCAATAAGAAAATGCTAAAAAGTTGGAGTGGACTGTTTATTTACCTATGAAACGTAACTCCTGGCTCTTTCTTATCGCTACTGCTTTCACTTGAAAGCTGAACAACTAATCACCATTGGGTAAAATGGTGTGGATCCGGTGGCTGACCTTGAAACGAGTTTTTGCTGCATATAGTCACAGACACTACGCATGCGCACATCTTCGATGTTGCCAGATTGCAAGTTATTTTGGAATTATTTTTAGTAGAAAACAAATATGTACTTTTCAGTGTTTTTTTGACAATATATACCGTATGATCGAAAAAACGGCGTCCAGTTGGCTGGGAAATGACGATTCAGGACATTTCCCATATAAAATGACAGCGATCTTCATTTCATAGTCATCGCTGTCGCTATTTTTTTTCAATCATAGTACGCGGTATTATTTATATTATTATTTTAATATTTCGCACAACACGTGAACGCTTATTATGTATTTTCATAGTCAATAAAATTAAATAGAAATAAAACTCTAGATTCCTATAATTAATCTAATTGCTGTAGATTATTATGCTACGTTTAAAAAGGGCTTTATGGCTTTATTAAAAATTCGGGAAATTAAAAGGGATGTGTCCAAGTTTTTTCTTTCTTTTTAATTTTTAAATGCTGTAGCTTCATGTCATGTTTATAATAGTTTTTTTTATCATTCCATCAAAACTACGGAGAACTACTATAAACCATATTTTTTCTAATGGAAAGATGGAATAGGATATGCAAAATTAAGATATTTAACATTTATTTTCCAGACAAAGCATAATATAGCATTAAGATTAAGACATAACAAATATTATAAGAAAGATCTTAATATAAATCACAAACTAAGTGTTAATTTGGTCTTGTATAAACACAGGTATAAAACTAATAAGATCAATCCTCAACCTTCACCATATTGTCAAGATTTGGCATTATAGGAAACAAAAAATTACAGTAAATTAAGAAAAGAATATCAAACTACACGGTATTAAATACTGTAATGTATTCTACGACACAAACCATCTCCCTTCTAAAGAGAAAAAGATAAAACATAAAGCTTATTTTAGTCTTATCACCACACTCTTCGATAAAATATATGTCTAAAATTACTATTAATCCACTAACTTGATATTTTTAAAAAATTATGATACAAACATTATAATCAAAGTATATTATATTAGTAACATTATAGGTAAAATGTTACCTCTATCTCCCATTGACGTGTATTGTTCTATAAGACTCGTCATGATAGTACTTCAATACATCAATAATCAAAACTATTGTTGCCTGTAAATAACTAGAAATTAAATAATTTGAAAGAAATGAAATAATTCTAATAAGTTTAAAACCATTAAGAAAAAATCAGTAAATGATAATTTTTAATTCTAATGTAAATATATAAATAAATGTTATTATTATTACAATTTTATATATTCAATTTTATATATCATTCCTTAAGTTTGGATATCAAGATAAATCTGAAATTATAAAATTAATTAGAGAATTTATTATTATTGATTAACACTCAAAAGAAAATTTTCAACTGCAAATAATTCGAAAATAAACTGCAATTTGGCAACATCGACGATGTGCGCTTGCGTAGTATCGATGATCAAATGCAGCAAATATGGGCTTCAAGGTCAGCCACCGGATCCACACCTTTACCCACCATTGTAATAAAGTTTATACAAAGTTTACTACACACAAACTATTAAAAATCGCTAAAATTGTCGCTGGTGACCAAATGATGACTCATTGTTTGCCACCAAAACAAAAAAAAGGTCACAAATTCTGCTGCAGCCCGTTAGGGGCGTTACATGTCCTTATATTCTTTAGTCGTTGAGTAGGATCATAGCATGGGATCATAGTATGGAGTGTAGACAGTGACTAAAGAATATAAGGACATGAAACGGCTATATAGGGGCTGCAGCAAAATTTGTGACCTTTAGACGCCATTTTTTTGGACATAACAAATGAATCATCAGCGACAATTTTAGCGATTTTTAATAGTTGGTTGTGTGTAGTGAACTTTGTTTAAACTTTATTACAGTGGTAATTTCTTCAGCTTTCGAGTGTAAAAGGCGCAATGATAAGAAAGATCCAGGAGTTACGTTTTATAGGGAAATAAACAGTCCACTACACCTTTTTAGCGTTGTTTTATTGAATTCGATAATTATTTTTCTGATATTATATGTACTTAATATGTGCTATACGTCGATACTAGTTTTGTACCTTTTGTTAACATTTTAATACGGTTTTTTCGTAATTAATTAGTATGAGAATAATGATAAAAATAAAAAAAAAAAAAAAAAAAAAAAAAAATACCAAAAATATAAATAACGCTTCCAGGGCTATGTTAGAAATATGTGCACGGACAGTTTTGGAGATGGTCAAGTTTGGTCTGGTCGGAGAAATAGAAGGGATAGGGTACGAACATAGTGTAGGCAGGTTTCTGCTTTCGTTGTTGCCGAACCAGCGCCGTCTCTGGGGACATATTCTTGACCACTCGCAACTTCAAATATCGCTCGCATCTCGCATCTCTAAAAAGCCATATAACAATAAACGTGAAGCGTAACTTTGCGTATATGCATCACGTTTATTGTATATGGCTATTTCTGAGATGCGAGAAGGATTCGGAAGTAGATACTTAAGAGGAAATTTAAACTAATTAACTACACTACAAACATATTTCAAACGACGCGGCTCACGCCTGCCGGGAGCACATAGATGTTTTTGGTCTATAACTGGCCCCCCCACCCCCCCCCCCCCAAAAATTTTTTTTTTTAAATGGAATTATTATTTGAATGAAAATTAGTATCCGTTCAATGCTTAAGTCTCCAGCATTGGAATATGCACAAAAATCTTGCCAATATTTGCACTGCAAAAAAATTGAGTTTAGAATAGTTCTTAAAGGAAATAAGTGTTTACCAACTATTAACACATCCGCTCAAATTGTTATACATATAACAATTACTTTCTTTTCTGGCATCTGGTTTTTGCAAGAATTGCTATTTGATCGGTGGAAAGGGTTTCAGAGTAAGAGGAAAAATATTGATGTAGGAAAAACAAAATGGGGTTACATATTAGCAACCTCTTCTTTCTAATTAATAATTAATATTACTAGCAAATAAGCAAAAAAAATAATAAAACATAATTTTTGGCCAACTTTTAGTTCTAAATAATATGTTACAACAAATTAATATAAAAATAAAATAAACTTTTCGTTCCGGTAAAAGCGAGAACGGCGTTGAACGCTGGTTGACGGTGCCTGCCTGCTTTCACTGTGAACTAGCAGATTTGATAAACGTCTAATTTTTTAAGTATAAGCGCGAGGCGGCGCGGCCGGCGCGGCGCGGCGCTTCTATGTAACCATATACAGGGTGGTCGACAGAATAAGTGCAAGTATTTTAACTTTCAACTTGGTAGTATAGTTCAACCCAGAAACCGCCTAATGAGGTTTTTTTTTCTAAATATTTTTTTTTTGAAAATTCGGATTTTTGAAAATATTTTTGGAATTTTTTTGCATTTTTTTTTATAAAAAAAAAAATTTGTAAAAAAAATAGTTTTATTGAATATTTTTTTTTTTTGGTTATTTTTTACGTATATATATAAAGAAAAATCAGAAAAGATCAGGTGGTTTCTCAAACAAATCTCGAAGTATTCGAAAGAATGTGTAAGGACCAATAACTATTGACTACAATAAAACGACGGAAAGGAGCATATTTTGGCATATTTTTCGAAATAACAAATATACGTTTCTTACAGCTGATCGTTGAGGGGAAGATTGAAGGACGACGAGGCATCGGGCGGTAACGGTTTTCCTGGTTGCGGGATTTGTGCCAGTGGTTTAATATAGAAGAGGCAAGTGCAATTATACGTTTGGCTCAAGACAGGAATTCCAATTGATGGTCGCAAACCTCTCGCGCGAGGCAGAAGGCACATGAAAAGGTTTCTCAAAATTTTAGCAAAAAAGAATTTTTTTTTTTTTTGGAAATTTTCAAAGTTAAATAACTCGTTATTTTGACTAATTTGAAAAAACGATAAAGAGAAAATATGTTTCCTTTATCGAGATCTACATCTTTAAATACTTGCCTTATTTCTGGAATAACCCTGTTTATAACAATACACGTGATGGGTATACGCAAAGTTGCGATCGATGTCAAGAATAGGTAACCAGATTGGCGCTGGCTACGAGCGGCAAAACTGCTTGCACTGTGTTCGCACACGTTAGTACGGAAATAGTGGAGGCAGGTTTCTGCTTTCCGACAACCAGCGCCGTCTCTGAGGACCTATTCTTATACGATCACTCGCATCTTCAAATATAGCTCGCATCTCGCATCTCTAAAAAGCCATATAACAATACACAGATGCGTAACTTTGCGTATATGCATCACGTGTATTGTATATGGATATTTCGGAGATGCGAGAAGGGTGCTGAAGTAGATAATTAAGAGGAAATTTACCTGATTAACTAACCTAACCTAACCACATTCAAACGCCGCGCCAGCCGCGCCCGCCGCGCTTCACCACCAAAGGTATTTGGTCTATAGCCTGGTCAAAAGTGATATTTTTTATTTTCATTTTTATCTTAACTGAATACAATCAATAAATACTAAATGTAAGCACGTTTATTAGATTTTTTTAAGTCGTAAGTTGACTATCAAATAAATAATATATTTCAAATTATAAGTATGAATTATCTTGAGTGTATTCTGAATATTTCTAAAATTTATAAAATAATTGGAATTGTTTATAGTGCTTTTTGCAAATTGTTTATAATAACTGTCAGGATACAGAGCCAGCTGGCAAGTCCTGTTTATGCCATATTTTTATTTTGAAACGTCCTTCTATTCTATTTCTGTATAATGTTTCCCTATTTAAAAAATCAGAGGCATTTTTTATAAGGTGTAAGACTATTCCGTAAACGTTCAATGCTCAAAGTCTCCAGCTTTTGGAATATGCAAAAAATCTTGCCAGTATTTGCCACTGCCAAAAAAACATTGATTTAAATAGATTCTTAAAGGAATTAGTTTTTACCCTATAACACCCATT